TGGGTGGGTGCAGACCCAGGCCTCTGGGGTGCTCAACAAGGTTAAGGCCTGGAGCGGGGACTGGAGGTCTGGGGTGGGGAGATGGGGTGGCCAGTGGGTGCGTGTGCTAACTGGGAACTTGAGGAAACAGTGACTTGAGACTTGATGGGGCGCCAGGGTTGAGGACTTCTGAGGATGGCTGGAGGGGTTGGGACTGGATGGCCAGAGAGGAGATGGGAAGCGGGAACGGGCGGCTTGGTGTGACTCTGTCCCCTGTAATGGGGGCAGCAGTGCGCTTTCTCCCTTGTGAAGGATGGAAGGCTCTCAAATGTAAGACCAGGCTCTGCCCTTTTCTTAGCTTTTGCAGGAGCCTCAGTTTGCTCCCCTGTAGAATGGGGATTTGAACAGTTCGCACCTGGTCCAGGTGTGAGGCTTAGTGGAACAGCTGAGCCCCTGCTGGCGTGTGAGCACCTGGCCACCCTGTCTGAGCCACTCATGCCTCTCCAGTGCATTTCTGCAGCAGCCTCCCAGCTTCTGCCATTGCTCCCCGCATTGCTCCCCCCAGCCCACTCTCCAGCCAGCGTCAGCGTAACTGTCAGATCCTGCCCCCCCCTTTGTGCAGCCCCCTTCCACAGCCTCTTCTTACTTAGAGTCAAAGCCGGGGCATCCTGTCTGAAAGCAGCCTCAACCCCTCCCACTGCAACCCCTCTGAGCTCTTCTCTCTCTCCAAGCCACCCCCCCCCAATCTCCCTGTGGACACCGGCTCCTGCCACCTTGACCCCAACACCAGGCACTCTTCCTCCAGATCACCACAAGGCTATTTTCAGAAACTTCTTTAAGTCAGTGTTGCGCTCTCTCCAAGCCCCCGAATCAAAATCCATCTCCCCACGTTTCCTGCTTGATGTTTTTCTAGCACTTGCCACTGGTGGACTTTACCTGCACATTCCTCGTTTGTTTTGTGTGTTGCCCACCAGCTCTGTGAAGCGGGGGGCAAGGGGAGGTGTGTTGAGTTTATCTGCTGGCTCTGCAGGACTCCCATGGGCACATAGTAGGTGCTCAGTCAACATTCGTGGGAGGGACGTTGCTATGTTGTTATGGGTGTTGGTGTTGCTTGTTTTTATCC